CAATCTCACCTATTTTTACTCACTTGATTTAACTAATTTGACCTGGTATTTGCTCACGTTATCCACTACATAATTGGTAGCTCGTATTTTATTTCTCTTAGATCGCCTAGAACTCCCGTATTCATTTTTCTCATTATTATCATGTCTGATTCAAGCGATTCACCTATGGACTCGCAAGATATTTTGAGTTTAAGACTACCAACTCACGGTATTCATCATTCTAGACTGTGGTTTGCTCAGGCAGAGGCAATTTTTGAGTGCCGTCACATTAGATCACAACAAACCAAGTATAGTTGCGTTGTTGCACATCTCCCACCTGAAGTTGTCGTCGAAATTGCTGACACCATCTACGCGAAAACCCTATGTAAACCCATACGATGTATTGAAATATGCTTTGATTAAGAGAACAGCGGCCACCGATGAACAGAATCTCTGTGTTTTCTTGCCGGCGTGGAAATAGGTGTTCGTACCTCCACTCAAATACTCCAAAATGTGACACAGATAAGAGGAAAGTAGGCGGTATATGAGAGCATCCTCAAGGATTTGTGGTTGCAAAACCTCCCTGAGGATATGAGGAAGGTCTTGTCGGTGGTTGACAAAGACATAACGCTGCCGAAATTGACCGAATTGGCTGACCAAGTGTGTTCATGCTACGGTACGAAGCTGTAGCGGACTAGGACCTAATCAGCGTGTTCGGATAAATTAACAAGAAAAAGTTACCAATGCAAAATCACAAAATCACAATAGGAAAGGAATGAGTATTCAAATGGGGACGCACGAATTTGTAGGTCCAGTAGTCCACTACACCGATCCAAATGCAGTAACTGACTGTGAAAGGAAAATATTCACTCGTCGAGATTTCCTGCAGATGGTTCCGTGTGAGTGATATGTTCCACGGTAGGAAAATTAGTCACGGCTAAAACATGTCACAGGGATTTATTGTGGCGTTCACCAGTTGACACAAACACAGAGATTTAGTCCCACTGGTTCGACGGTCAACAAACAGTTCAACGGGGCGTAAATACAGTCGTTCAGCAAGAAGTCAGCAGGTCGCGCCGGAAAATTGTGTATTCGTAACATTAAAACAAACGTCATGATACAATGTGAACGACAGTTACAAAGTGTGGTTCAAGTTCCGGAAGAATGGTAAATGTGAAAACGGATTACAGACACTACAAAGCCCTCTATTTCAGCGCAGTCAGTAGCCATGTCTTCAAGCCTTCAGACCAACGTTGAAGCCGTGAAGCAACAAGTATCAGAACCTTCTTTACAGATCTCCCAAATTTCCGGCAAACTAACCCAGCGCTCACGCTCAAACTCATGCTGTCATCCTACACGTTCCCGTTAATTCTACAGCCGTGACGAGTCTACGTGGATCTGCCGATACCATCGAAATTTTGACTCAAAGGCACTTAATTGTGTCAAGCCCTGTAACTTCTATCGTCAACAGGCCAGACAGTAACGGCGACAACTGTTCTTGGCCCCAACGTAAGTCGCCTTTTTCACGTTATAGATAACCTGACCCACAAGCGTTTCTTAGTCGATACTGGTGCTGAAGTCAGTATCTTAAAATGTTTATCTAAGGAACGTTACTAAACCCTGGCTCTTACACTGCGTGCGGCAAACGGGTCTCGAATCCTCACTTATGGCCATCGTTCCGTGACGCTTAACCTAGGTCTTAAACGCACGTTTCGTTGGGAATTTTTAATAGCCGATGTACAAACTACTTTCCAAGAGGCTGATTTTCTCATAAAATTTGGTCTTCTAGAAGACGTGAAAGGTCGCAGACTGGTGGACCAAGCAACCAATTTGAGCATCGCTGGAATCCAGTGCTGTTCAACGCCTCCTGCAATCAAGGTCCGCACCCCCGATTTAGTCGGCCTATATGCTGCCTGATCAAGGAATACAAAGACTTATTCCAACCTTCAGCTATTTCAACGCAGCCGCACCACGTAGTCACGCACAACATCCTCACCACCGAAAACCCTGTGTCATCGCGTCCTCGTCGCTTAGCACCAGATAAGCTGGCTACAGCCAAACACGAGTTTCAGAACATGCTCGAGTGGGGCATTATAAGTTCATCTAGTTCTTCTTGGGCATCACCACTTCACATGGTAGAGCAGAAGACCAGTGGCGATTGGCGACCTTGTGGAGACTATCGGGCCCTTAACAAGGCCACCGTTCGAGACAAGTACCCTGTACCCCACATACATGATTTCGCTTCGACTCTGGACGGGAAGACTGTTTTCTCGAAAATCGACCTTGTCCTTGCTTATGACCAGAAACCAGTAGCCACCGACGATATACCGAAAACGCCAACTACCACTCATTTCGGCTTATTCGAATTCCTCCGAATGCCGTTTGGTTTACGCAATGCTGGCTCAGCCCTTCCAACGTTTCATTGACCAAGACTAACGTGGGTTAAATTCCGCTTGTGCCTACATAGATAATATTCTTTTTGCCAGCAGTTCACACACTGACCATATGCGCCATTTGAAAGCCATCTTTGAACGTTTTCGACAACTTGGTATCTTTCTCCAAGTTAAGAAATGTGAATTTGGTGTACCTTCCCTCGAAACGCTTGGCCACATCATTGACCATAAAGGCGTCAGACCACAACCCTCAAAAGTAAACACGTTGGCTGACTACCCCGCCCCAACTTCCGTAAGACAACTGCGTCGTTTTCTGGGTTTAGTCAATTACTACCGTCGATTCAT